AATCAGAAATTGTTATGAGATTTTTAAAATTATTTTTATTTTCATGATGAAGAGTGCTAATATTATTTGATATCTTTTAGTTAAATTACTTCTTGTGAATGTTGAACGTTGATTAGTTTCGTTTTGCACTGTGGCTTATGGGCTGAGATCCCGCAGAACCATAAAAAACATATTACTTTAGCATCTGTAAAAAGTAAGTATTTCCATATGCCAATTCCCTGTATACAGGTCATTTCTTTCTGTATATCAAAACAAAAATGGTTCAACAGTTTCTCTTTTTCCAAATGTGTTTCTAGTATCAACCAAAAAAGCAATTCAATAGCATTCCAATATCAATAAACTTCTTTTCTGTTAAAACAGAATTGCTTAGTTATTTATAACTTACATTTCCGATTTTTATTTGAACCTTACTTAATTACATTACAAAAAAAGCTGCCAACATTACAGGCAGAGAAGGGGCCTAAGGTATCAACAGTGGTGCAACAAAGAAGCTATAAGAGAGAGAGCGAGAGAGACAAAGAGATTACTTAATTAGTAATAAGAAGAGTGTTTTAATTTATTTTTCAGTTACATCAAAAATATTAATGTGTGTCTAACCCCTTTTGGTTTATTTTTGTTTTTAATATTAAAATGTAGTTTTGCATGAACAGTATCTACTTAGTCCTCTATAAAAAGCAGCTACATCAAATCCTATTCCAGCAGTATCTAGGCTTCTGCAAACGGTGTCTAATACCTTCTTAGCAGTATTTGTCTGGCAGCGTCATCTGTTTATTCAAAAGGAGGTTCTAATCATCAATTATCAGTATCTATTCCTATGCCAGCTGTATATAGTTTTCTGCAAGTGTATAGTCCGGCATTAGCCGTATCTAGTCGTTGAAAATCTGTATATATCTACTACTAAGAAAAAGCTTTGCATACGTTCTGACTAACACTTGCTGCTAAGCAATTATAATTGAAATATTAAAAAGTCAAAAACCTACGTTTTAAATTTCGCACGACTTGCTTCGTATTACATCTAGAACGCTGATATTTGACAGTTGGCATTAGTAAACATTGGGATTAAGTCCGTAAGAACGTTTTGAATTAATGAAGTTGTGAACATATCTTATTACAATGTGGTAAATTTCAAGATATTAATCAAAAAATTTTGATTCTTGGTTTCAAAATGCGTCAGCAAACCATACATTCATCACAAGTGACTGTATGATGTGGATTTTAGAATCAATGGTCTTCGTGATCGTAATCTAACAAGCAACATTTTATAGCCTGCATTAGATCAAATTGAAGAGAACATTCGGTTTCAATTATAAATTATTGCGAATTGTTGTAACATAGTTGAGTTCATCTGCAGTAAAAGCGAAGCTTGACAATAAAAATTCGAACTGTTATGTGTCAACATTCACGATGTGCCAAGTTGTGAAAATTTCGTCAAAAGGTTGAAAACTTGCTAACAAACTCTTTCTTGAAAATTATATTACATACGTAACCTAACTTTTCCAATAGGAACATAAATATTTTTGTATTTTAATAAGAACACCAGCTTTGATTGTTTTCGTGATGAACCTTAAAACGTCAGTGAAACATTTTCAAAAAACGTCAGTAACCTTTTTATCATGTTGAACTTCACAAACGAGCAACGTTTGGAAATTATTAAAAATCCCACCAAGTGCCTCAGTTCAAAATGAGCTAAATTATTCGATCCACGCCGTTCGCAGGAATTGAAATTCTCTCAAACCACATTGTGGCGAATAATGCGTAAAGATTTCCACTCTTAGAAGGTTACACTCTTACAAGATCCAATTAATTCAAGAACTAAAACTTCTTAAATTATGCTCATCTGCATCATCTTCAGCGATGAACCTATTAGCTTTATCAATATACAAAGTATGCGTTATTGATTTCATACCGAACCATATATTTTCGACGGTGAAAATGATCGTGCTATTACTGTCAATGAGTATCTTTCTATCAATGATCACTATAGTGCCATGTTTTCTGCCATGAACACTAGGTATTTTTGGTCATAATGAGATAGACTCGATATGACTCAAATATTTCAATTACTCTGTTACTTGCTTATTGTATACAATTACCTTATTATCAATAAATGATACAGATCTACGATTTTAGTCATATTTCAAATTTTGTCATCGTAGCTAATTCCGTTTTTGCACCATTGTGTACTAACATGACTTGTGGATTAAGGTCGTATTTTTGTACGATTACACACACATCGAACAATTTTTATCTCCAAAAATAGAAGTAATATCACAAACCAAAATATAATTTTTTAAATTTCTTGTTTACATAATCCTTTTTGTTGTGTTTATAACTCTTGTGCATCATTACCTACATTCTCCAGCATGGGCATTTAGCTCTGTAATAAATAACATTAAACAATACCATATTTGTGAATAACAACGCCCACGTTTTTGCCCCTGAAGTTTAAATCCTTCTTAAGGATTTTTTATATACCGGTGGCTTGTTCTGAATAAGGATTTGCATAAAGATTCAGAATGCGTGAGATGGTTTCTCGGCAGCAAAATAGGTTCGTGTGGGCGCAACAGCTTCATTTTTGTACCTGTCGGAGCTATTAACCTCTTCGCATTGTTGAAGAACGGTTATGAGGCTTCCAGGACACGCCCGTACGATTCGTGGATCAAGATATTCTGGCAGTGTACCGTCGGTAATGCCTTGCAACTACCGCGGAATTGCACTAGAGATACCAAGAGCTTAACGACGGGAATAAGGCCGGGGCCGAAGAGATGTTGTCATTTAGGTGCGTTGCTCCGGGCGTTCCTTATGGAATTTCGAATGGGCTCTGGGTTAATGGAAAACAAACGTTAGCATTAAATCGCGAGCGCGTGCGAAATTCCTGGGCGTTTATTTTAATAAGCGGAGGACAGGACGGTACTAAACATAGGTATTTTATGGGCAATTTGATTCTAGTTGGATCTTTGCCTTCGTTACCTCGAGCGTGTGTCACCTAATAATAAATTTCCGGGCGCGATAATGACTTTAGACACCAGAAGTAGCTTATGGCTCCTATGTATATGTAGTCCAGAATATGATATCTTTATAAATGGTGAAATGTTGTGTATTTTCATATCTGTGCACTTAGGAAATTCTTGCCGGGTGAAATCGGAATAATCCATTACGGTAATAATCGTAAGTCAGAAAAGGAAATTTATAAATGGAACATGATACTTTAATCCATGCAAATTTAAAATCACTTGTAATGCCACCGGTTTATATCAATATCGGAATCGTTTTTTTTCCTTTAATATCAGTATTTCCATTTACATTAACGTGAACGCCTTCGTGTAAAAAAATCGATTGGCGAGATTGGTCTGATGAAGTAATTGCAGAATTAAGTAAAAGACACGTCGTATATGTCAGACGAGATTGTGTTGTCGTGTCCTTTTCATTAGCCCAATCTAGATGCGTTCGGCTTAATGCGGCTACAGCGTAAAGATAACACATGAAGATTGGCGTGCTTTCTAAAGATGGAACGTGAAAAGGCAGGTGCGTTCTTAAGATAAGTGAAAAAGGGAAAAACATAACGAACGACCACGAATGGTTTACCACCTTTTTGTAAGTCTGTTTTCGCATTTATGCCACAGTCGTATCTTATATCTTCCGTTTAACACTATTCGAACTCCGATTCGTTTATTTAATTTATAAATCGTGATACCTATTTATAGACAGATATTGAAGTTAAAATTAATGGATTTCGATTTATTTTACGATGAAAAGTTATTACTTTTAAAATATCCCACTGTGTGATCCATGTAATTTACACCCACAAATTTGCTGACCTTGCCTAAATGTTATATTTGATGCATCGCGTGTCTGCATAAATTCCCACATCGATATACCGCATGCTGACTCGCACCGCTCACATTGAGAAAATTAATAAAGCAATTAATTCAAGCCGAATCAATTCGCCGTGTCGGTTGTTTTAATTTCGTTAATTTACAGCCGTCTGCGTTTGGTTAAATTATTCATAAATTCGTACTATAAATTAGACCGTTTCGACTGCGTAATCACAAGCGTAACTAACGCATAAATTCGCCAAAGTTTAAAAGTACCATAATAATAAACTTGTAGCAAAATAACGCCCTCTAAGGAAAAACGAGAAAACCGTTCCGCGAGTTTACTTTACATATTGGATAAGTGCTTCCTTATTTCACCGACTATGTTCATAAATAATTCATTTACAAGATCGTTTTTGACACCTTTATGATTTGTGGAAGACATTATCAACTCTGTTATTGAAGTTGAAAATAAAATAAATATTTTCATCCGGGTGGGAAGAGAAAACGGCTTTTAAAGTTTATGGAAATGGTGGTACAGTTATACAAATACTTCAACGGAAGAACGAGAGCTATTAATAAAGCGCGCGCAGGATATCATTACGTCATTACTGTCTTTTTTCTCGTCTCTCCACGCGAATTTCCATGTTGGTTGCTCGCGGACTGAACGCGGTAATCACGGTCTGTTGTCAGCCAGCAGCGACAGTGGCAATTTCGCAGGAATCTGCCTGCACAGCGGTTTGGTCTACCGACTAGTTGTTCCTACGGCAGGAGAATACGATAGTAACCCAAGATAACTCGGTACGAGCCACTCATGTATTATTAAATTATTAGAAATCTCTTCGCCTCTGGCCACGTTTTATACGGCTGCAGCCGTGGCTACAGCGTCATTGTGCGTAGATCTTCGGAACAGATAATTGCTTGTTGATCTCCGATAGCCGCTACGTTAAACGTTTGATATCCTATTTAACACAGCTGCCGGGACAAGACTTGGAAACAAATTTCAAATTAGCAATGCTTCCTGTAGATCGTGACCACAGATAAATGTATATTAAATGAACGCGTGTGGAGTAAATATGATGGAATTAATGATACTTACTAGATATTTATCGAAATGGTGTGGATGTTATTATATCTTTAAGAAAAATTTGATTTGATTTTATAACCTTTTATGAAATTAAACACTTTTTATATAAGTACAAGTTTATTTAATTATAAATAACAGAACAAAAAGTCATAAATATCTACATCATATCTTACACGAAGTTCTCTACAAAAAGAAAAACTTACACTGTCATTTCATTAAGTCCGTTATCTCATATCTATATACGTATCGTCCACTTATTAATTATACATAGTAACAACTCGATATTTACAAGATTACAAGACATATTTACACAAGTAGTAGTCAATTCGTTCATTGATAAACTTTATTCTTATTTTTTTATTTTCTTTTTCGTTCCAATGGGTTTAATCTAAATCACAATGTATACAAAACCTAATCTAAGAGGATACAAATGATCATCGTCGTCATAAAGTAGTATTGCTAAGAAAAAATAGGAATTCAGTCTGAGATTGTATTGTTGCTCCGAGAGATAGGCTCTAGAGAAATCTAGAGACGAAAACATTAAAGTTCTTTGGTTATTATAGTACAAGCTTTCATGTTGGAGTATACCATTACGTATTTATATGTTCACTAAAAAAACAGTTCTATTCGTCCGTTTTGTTTCTACAAGGATTAGCAGAACTTATTTCTCAATTAATTTTCGGTTTGTAAGAGTTATTTCATCTTTCTCTCGTTTGCTATTTCGCTTTTATTATTATTTAATGTAGCTGAAATAATTTGCGGCGAATTGATTATTGTCCCCTCCGATTCCGAAGCTGTACTTTAGCAGGAAGACGGGTTCGCAGTCGTGCATCCATCAGTTTGCTTACGGAGAGGTAACTAAACATCTACGGACTAGTCAACTCGAAAACATCGCCAATTTCCATCAATTTCGATATGTAACACGACCGTTTGTCTCATCAAGATCGTTTACTTTACGCACCTCTTCATCTGGCAGTGTTGGGGCATCGGCCTTATGTTTACGGACGGACCAGCTTCTGCATATAAGCAGGAAGACTCGCTACATGAACATGTTGTATCGTGACTACTTGAACACGAGTGTCTATCGGTTTCTACGTCCGCATCGCCATCTTCCCAATGTTGATTTCCCCAAACTTTGTTATCACAGGCGTGTTGGGGGTGGCAATGTCCGCGTTGATTAGATCTCCTACCAGAACTTCCACTAGCTAAAGAACAGTGAGCATCGCAATTGCCACAAGAACCTGCCCTTGGATATTGTGTTATGCGACTACATTGACTTCCAGAATGACTTGGAACGTGGACAGCGTAGCAAGCGTATCCAGCACTTCCGCAACTACTTCCTCCGCGAGGAGGTGGACATGGAGCGTTGTTATCTCTTGGACAATCTGGCGGTGGATGATCTGGAGGTGGAGGGATGATTTCGGACCAATTCGGTGGAGGGAGTAACATTGTCGTTGCATAAGGAGTAGGATTATCAGGGCTTTTTTTGTTGTAGAACGTTGAAAGACTTCTAGTGTCAACTTCCGCGTAATCAGCAGGTTGGTTTGCTAAAGGAATTGAAGAGTCTTTATCGCAATCAGTTGCTCTCCAACCTCTATCAATCCATAAACTTTCTTTGTTATTCAATTGGTTTGCGTTTACTACTGGAACGTTTAAATGTCCTAACTGCTTATTCATTGATTGTCTTCGTTTCAAATACACGAAACCTCCCGTTATACCTAATATGATTAACGCTAATATGGCAAGGAGAGCTACGAACCATGTTTGACGTACTATGGGAATTACCGGTCCTAAAGTTCTTGGACTTTGAGCTCTAAATGTCGTTAAAAGTGGAATGTTACTTGAATAGGGACCCATTCCAGCTTTTGTATACGCAGCAACTTTCGCATTATAATGCCCACCAGCGGTTAAATTATTTATTAAAATCGATGTAGTACTAGAATTTGTTTGAATTGATCTCGAATTTGTTCCTTTAATAAGTATTTTATAGCCTTGAATGACACCGTTGTGGTGTTGAGGTGGTGGAGGAGACCATCTAAGCCAACCTGCAGTCTCATTAAAAACATCACCTGAAATATTATCCGGTGGTGCTGAGGGAATATCTTCTAACGTTTGAGCAACTCGTGAATTTGATGGTTGTCCCTCAACACTTTTATAAAATGGCGAAATAAAAAATTCATATTTGGTAAACTTCTTTAAATTCGTCACGGTATAGGAACTACTTTCGACGTTTAACACTGTTAAAATGTTATAGTTGTGAGATCCGCCGCTAAGTTCTCGAAAGCGAATGTAAAGTCCTTCCACGTAGTCCGGTGCACTAAAAATCCAAGATAACTCAATGGAACTAGAAGTTAAAGCACGAGCGTCGTGCAGTTCGACTAATTTTGTACTCAACATCGCTCTTGCGGTATCCAATTCCGATCGAAGGACGGTACGGGAGTTTGCTAAAGTTCTAGCTGTAGAACTAACACCACTTGCCGGCGATAGGCCGTGAGAATTTTCTGCGCGCACTATGAACACATAAGAACTGTCCGGTTTTAATTCACGCACTACCATAAAAGGACGGGGTACTCTATGGGCGGCAACGACCCATCCCGTTTGTAAATCAGGACTCCAATATTCCACCGTATATCCAACTAATCCTACGTCGTCGTTGCTACTTTCCCATGTTAAGCTAACACTAGACTCTGTTGCATTGATGATCCTGGGAACTGCAGGTGCCTTGGGAAAAGTGGACGGATCTGGACTACGATGCATTGGAATGGACGATCCCTCGACGACGCTTAGCGATGCAGACCAGGAGCTTTCACCGCTCTCCGAAACGGCTGAACAAGTATACAGGGCGGAATCTTCAATATGGAGATCTGAAATTGGGACATAAGAGCGTAAAAGTTTGACCAGATGTTAAAAAGAAGCCAACGTACCGTCTATATCCAGGGTGCCTCCAGGTGTAATTGAATATCGATCGGGTGTACTACTGGGCTGTAGGATTTTCCCGTCTTTCAGCCAACGGATTTTCGGAGGGTTTCCTTCAGGGTTCGTAGCTTTGCAGTGTAACGTTACCATACTATGAAGGGGGAGCGTTTGATTTGCCGGACCTATTTGGATTATCGGTGGTGGAAGATCTGCTACTGACGTAACCTAAAAAAAATTGAATATGTGAAATAAAATGTTAAATCTACAACAAAGTTAAAAGTATTCCGAAATGTGTTTTCATTAAACGAGAATTTCAATTACAGCAAACGGAAACCGTTCCGATTTTATGCAAAGTGGAAGACGGTCCTCAAAAATATTCCACCCGTAATCTCTTTAAGGGATTCACATTATCCTCTTTAACTTTTCCCGTTACGGAAATTCATCCCTACAACTCGTAATCCGAATCTCTACGTTCGTCGCGCACTGCCTTCAACTTCCGCCAAAGCGTAATGCACTAAGCGGACTTTGAAAACTTAACTTACCTGAAGGAAAGCCCTGGTTGTGTTCGAACCTGCCACGCTCAGAGCTGAACACACAAGGTATCCTGCATCCTCACGTTGAACCCCTTGAATCCGCAACGTCCCGTCCTGGCTCACATGCATATGGCCGTAAGAGTTTTCCGGAAACATGAGCAACTGTGAACCTTCCTTATTCCAGAATACGCTTGGAGGCGGATTACCTGTTGCTGCGCAGTGAAACTCTGCTACTCCGTTTAAGCTAACGGTTTGATCGCGTGGGCTTTCTATAAATACGGGTTGAGCTAAAAAGAAATGAAAAAATTAATTCCTCTACTAAATAACATTTTTAAAGTCAACGTAAATAACCACACGATTTTATATTAGCTATATGAATTTCTCTTGAATAACCAAGTAAATTTAATTAAAAATTCCAAATACTCTGCAAAAATATTTTTCCACTCTTGGTGGTCTGGCAAACTTCCCGTTCTACTTCCTCGGCCCATCGCTGAATTCAATTTTTAAATTATACACGGGCTACTCGGCCGTCTAGACGAGCAAAAACCTCAACGGTCGAGTGGCGGATGTTTCGATTTTTCTTCATCCTACAGGAACACGAATAAAAAAACCATCCACCAAAGAGTATAAGAGGTAAGGGACCACATATGCCCAAATAAGTGCAACGGAGCGCGGGCTTGCAGAAGTGGACCAAATGGATTTTTTTCAAGAGACGCTGTTGTGATTTAATTAAAATAGAACGAGATGGGAGAAATTCGTTGTTATTTCTCATCCTTAAAAACACTTTATGAAATATTGAACGGTTTTTTATCTTTACTCGGCGCTGAATGTTTTGCGAATAAAGCTAGGGGTTGGAAATACAAAAGAATATTTCTTTAAATTCGCATAGTAAAAACAGTTTTTCATCTCTTCTATTGTATAAATTTCGCACATTCGTGAATCGTGATTCATCTTGAAATAATAAAGCAAGGAATTTTGTCAAGGAAACTTACAGTTGACCACCAAAGACGCCTGCTCCTTAATCGTGCCAACCAGGTTCTTCGCCTCGCAGATGTAGACTCCCTCGTCGGCAGGTTGTACGTTCTCTATCAGCAGTGATTTGTCGTCACGAATGCGGGCCCGTCCGATGGGCATCTTGCCATCCTCCCTGCTCCACAAGACCGTCGGTGTTGGATCGCCATCCACTGTACATTGGAAGACCACGCGCTGGCCAGAGAGCGCGACCACATCCTCCGGTTTCTTGTTGAAGACCGGTTTCACTGCAACAAACGATTCGTCGCGATACGTTAGCTTCTGCGGCTACTGCTTCGCAAACCTTATTGGAATCCGACCCGTATGTTACATTAACTTTTGCAATGCGATCTCACGTATGCGAACTATACGTGAACGAAACCAAAACAATTACTTCCAACATTTTTTATAAGTCTAAAATGTGAGGTGTTATAAAAATGGAATACTCTTAAAAGTATACACTAGAATAAAGTTTTACGTTACTATATTTAACTCGAATTCCAACACTCAATTTGCACACATTTCTCTTAGACTATAAATCTACGTGAAACCACAAACTTTCGCTTTCGAAATTAATTTAACCCACGCCATTTCCCTCTGTCGACTGCTACTTAAGCATTCCGGGAGCGTCGTTCCTGTAACGCCTCATGGAACCGCCGAAAGAGGGTCCTGGGGGTTCTCAACAAGTCAGCCAAGGGGGAAATTACCGTGAACAGTCAACGTGACCAAAGGAGTCTCTCTAGAGCCCACCAAGTTGTGTGCTACGCACTGGTAACGGCCTTCGTCGTACTGTCTGACATCGGAAATCATCAGATTCCCGCCGTCGACTAGCCGGACCCTCCTTCCATCCGTTTCCAAAGCTTTGTTGTTCTTCTTCCAGTATACCGTTGGGTCGGGATGTCCTTTGGGGGCGCCACATTGAAGGAGAGCGGTTTCTCCAGCCGCCACTTTGGTGTCACTGGGGGTTGCACGGAAGTCGTCCCGGAGCACTGAAACAAAACGAGCGATAGTTTACTGTGGAGGTCATGAACAATTCTTGGTATTCTGTTTCCTCGGTTGAGAGTTGATGTTGAGATTTGGGTATGCGAGGGAATAATTTGGGAATAGTGGATTAATGGAATACCAGATAACCAGATTTAGTTTAAAAAATAGTTTCCAAATTGTTTCCAATTTTATTGGTCATTTTCAATAAAAAAGGTTGAATAATTTTCGATAAATTGTTAAAAGTTCAAATTCACTCGGACAATAAATAAAAAATGTACGTAGGAAAAATGTATATACTGTAATAGTCGATGCCATTTTTAGTTTGAATGTGATCGGACATTCGTGACGTGTTCGAATTTACGCACGTTTTTATCGATGGGCGATAGTTAGAGCGCTTGTCAATCCGAATATTTATCCGCACTTTAGGACCCGTGCGGCCAGAGGGCTTTTATTTGTTCCAAACCATTTTTTCAGTGCCGCTTTTTTTCACTACCAATACCCGTCCTGAATTGGTGGGCTTTGCCGTTTTCCAACAGCGTGCGGATTAAAAATAAAAATATATAGGGGTAAAAATACGACCAGGCTGTTGGCTGATTTATATCCCAGACTGTGAATTCGCGGGGGTCGTGTAATAAAAATATATTGCGAAAGTACTACTAGCCAGGTCAGGATACAGGGTGCAGGGCGAGCGGAATTCGGAAAATAAACAGAAATACGCCGACTACCCAACGGAAATGGACACGTCACGCGAGGTTTGTTTTAATGTTCACCCCATACATTTTTAATCGTTAGGTATTAACGCTACTCCATATTTATTTTCAAAATTTTATCGCTGCCGGATTATAATATATGCGATTTTTATGGAAACCGCCGCTTCATTTTCAATATTAATAGCCCAACTGTATATAGTCGAGGGTTGTTTAAATTTAACATAGGTCTATATTTTATTTACCTGTCATTTTAAAAAGTTACAAAATTAAACATTCATTTCAAAAATTCAAATAAGTAATTTAAAAAATAAACACTATGTGTATACCAAATGTTAGATTACGTTGATGTTAATAATACATGTTAATACGATGCATGTTTATATTAAGCAGGTTTACTTTCTTATTTTTATTCGTTTTTAGCTGATTTTTCGTATAACATTGTGGTTAAAAAGTTATCGTGCGCGGACGATTTTTTAATTGTCCTTTACGTAACTTTTTAATTTTGATGTACTGTTTTTGTATAACAGCGTTGTTGTTTCTTGTTTTTGTGTTTGACTTGTAAAGTTGGAAAGCGAAATGTGTACCACAAATTTAATGATGTGAATGACGATGATATTATAAAGCATTGTTATGGACATAATATATGTAATTTGTAGTATGATGTAATTTGTAGTACTTTTTTAGAAATATTGTTGTAATCATTATTTCTTTCCATTTTATTTTTAAATAAAGTAAAATACTTTTTCTGTTTGTACTTTTATTAAAAATGGATTTATTGTTTTAAAACCGGTAAAATTTTAAACAATAAAGAAATTTTTAGTAAAAGTACAAACAGAAATAGTTATTTGTATTATAAGTAAAGAAAGTATACTTTTTTCTTTATGAATCGCGAATTTTCTAATCGAGGCGAAGACGAGATTAGAAACGCGATGAGTAAAGAAGAAGTTACTTTTCTTTAAGAATAATACATGAAGTTTTTTCGGACACTCAATTTAAATGAATTACCACCTACATTTTATAAGAAATTATTTAAAAAGTACACGACGAGCTCGAGAATCAAATTGACGTTTCTGCCGTTTCCCTCACTACAGCAACCAAACAAAAAAAATAAAGTAATGATTCATCAGGAGTTCATCAGAAGGTGTTATCAAAATCGTCACTAACATGTGGTGATTTAGAGTTACAACAGTGTACATCAAGTATAAGCTTCTCTAACCTTAATAATTGTACGTTTAATATTTATTCTAATAAATAATTAATTGTTTATTTGGTTGCTATAAAGAAATGGTTGCTATAAAGAAATGAGGTACTTTTCTTTACGATTTGTAATAAGGAAATATAGGCCATTTCCAGTGAGTGTCCGAAAAAAGTATTTTACTTTATTTTTTACAAATGACGTAATCGATGAAATAGAGTAGTGGACAAACTTTGAGATGATCGTCGCAAGACCGCCTTAGTTTCACCAAATTTTAGAGCATAAAAGAATTCTTCGAAATAAATATAAGCTCTTATGACAGTATTAGTACTGACAGCTATCAAGAAGTTGACCACAACATATAGCAACAATGATGAAATGAAGATATAAGTTCCTTATGTCTTGTCTCTGCTTCCATGATAATAAGTATATACGCATTTACTTAGAAAAAGACAAATATGTTCCTGTAAGAAATATGTGAGATGTTTATTCAAAAATGACGTGAAAATTATACTCCTGGATCATACCTAATAATTAATAAACCTGCAAAATATGGATTGAAAGTGCTGATGATGTGTGATAGTGGTACAAAGTACATGATTGATGCTTCACCATATTGGGGCAAAGGCTCAAACAAGTCAAATCTATAACTTGGTGAGTAATTCATAACTGGTTTATGTTAATTTTTCGGATATTGAATATTGCTTTTATAAACAGCTATGTCATTTATACTCACAACATGCTTCAAACAAAACAAACATCTCTCAGTCAAACGTATTTTTTACAATAAATTGAATTTTACCTTAGTCGAAAGTCAAATAACCTAACCGAAAGACAATCGGTTAGTCAAATAGCAACATCGCCTACGTCAGTGCGAAATAATAGTGAAAATGTAATACACTAATTTAATCCAGTGACTTTTTACATGCAACTACACCAGCTCAAATTGAGAAGTTCAAGTACTTCTGTAGTCTCTCCGTTCTGTGTTGTAATGTTTAGCGCTGTGTGTATCTCATTTCTCCTTACATACCATGTAACATTCACCATGACAAGCAGAACTTTAGTTAGGTGTTTGTATTACTTGGATATGGTTCTCTTTTGCACAACCTAAGAATTGTGTACCATATAACCTCATAGGTTTTAACCCATCTTTTGTCGCCATATAAGTATTTTGCTCACATTTTTAGAGAAACTACGATTTGCAACGATGTTTTTCCAGCCTGTAGCTGACATGTAGCTGAGTTTTAACCTTCAGCAGTAGGGGCATCTGGTTAAAAACATAAAAGCCGTGGTGTTTCGTACATGAGCATTTCGAACATCAAGCAATAAATCGCGTATGTGCAGTTATTTTATAATGTGAACATTTTTCTCATCAAGCGACAAAGCGCATTGACTGAGTAAGTCTGTCAGCAATACTCTTTAATTAGTATCCTACATAGCTATTTCATAGCTGCCCGAATCTTCACAACCATATAAACAAAGGTTGGAAGAACCAGAGCTAGATGCACCGTCGTAGTACAGTAAGAACATGACTGATTCAGATCAGTCTGCTGATGAAGCAGAAACCAACAAACCAGTGAAACAGAACCAACTTTGACCGGAAAAAATAAAATCACTTTGTGGGTAAAACATATACTGTGTCCAAACGTTAGGAGAGGAAAGCAAAATGTAGTTCTAATGGTTTCTGGCACAAAAAGGTGTGGCACAAAATGCAAAACGATCTTGGATTCATGAAAATTGTTTTTCGATATAGACACTTTTATATATCGCAGGTTAGAAAAAAGCAGCCCATCTAATATTGAGGAGTTACGTGTTGATGACAGTACACCACTGGAATATTTTCGCACGGTAATGTCGAGTCGTAGACTTTACATTCAGTTCGATGGTGTAAATGACAACATTGCGCCGATTATATAAAGAAAACACCGTAGTAAATAGACTGCCAAATCATATTTTGAATACTGGTAGAAACATAACAATGGACAGTAACTTCATATTAGTTTCTCTGGTCCTAGATTTACTAGCCAAGAGAACGACTTGTTGAAACTATAAGAAAAAAAAAAAAAGAGAGAAATTATTACAATTTCCATAAATACAAAAGAAAGATCAGTGCACAGTATGTTTGCGTTTTTGAAAACAAATCTTTTTCAATTCAAAATTTTTACGGCCAAATTGATAACGATACTGGAGGTAAATGTAAGTCGGAGGTAAATTAAAAGCGTTGATGTTGTTGATGAACATATATCTCAGTATATGTTGATGAAAAGAATACTAAGGATACAAACAAGCTTAGAAAAAGGAAGACTTGCACTGTTTATACATCCTCTAAACGGCAAATGATAATATCAGCCTGTGCAAAATGTGATAAAAGTTTATGCGCTTAACAAAAATATGCGTTTCAAGATTTTTGTTCTACTCTGTATAACATTTAATAACCTTACCTCAAGTATTATAATACAATAAGGTATTGATTACATTAATATTTGTACCATTTTAAATTGTTAAAACTGTTTTTAGGAAAATATTTACAACCATTAATGCTTTTTGACTAATTGAAAAATTGAAACAATTATTGTAATTTCCTGTATGAAAATAATGCGTTTGTGACTACGTGCTCAGCGACAACAAACAATTTGTCATCGGGGTGCATTGGTGCAATTCGATACTCCAAAATACAACCTCGATTGGAAATTATTGATGTGGACGTCACTTTAACAGCGGCCGGACGTTGAGGGACGAACATAGTCCACGGCTTACCTAACAATCCCTGTTCGGTAAACTGAAGGCTTTAATAATTTACTCCGTGAAAATTTAATAGATAGCGTGCTGATGTCGGGGGTTCTGGAGGGTTGTTGCAATCTAGATATGAATTATGTGAGTGGTTCTCTTCGTGCATATAAAGGATGGGCTGGTCCGAACCTGTACGCAGTGTAATTGGCGTTTAATTCCGATGCCTTCGAATTGGAAAAGGGCGAAGTTAATGACGCGTCAAGGGGCTTGAAAAGTTTCCGATTAGTTCTCGGAAATGCCCTACTTTTCGTAAAGGTCTTTCTAGCAGGCAGTTGAATTATTGGTCTCTAAGTAATAATTGATTTGTGAT